GCAATGCCAAAGAATGTTCGAACTACCACACCATTGCACTCATTTCATATACTAGCAAAGTTATGTTCAAAATCCTACAAGCTAGGCTCCAGCAGTATGTGGACCGAGAACTACCAGAAGTACAGGCAGGGTTTCGAAGAGGCAGAGGAACTAGAGATCAAATTGCCAACATACGCTGGATCATGGAGAAAGCTAGGGAGTTCCAGAAAAACATCTACTTCTCCTTCATTGACCATGCTAAAGCCTTTGATTGTGTGGATCACAACAAATGGTGGCAAGTTCTTAATGAGATGGGAGTCCCAGACCATCTTGTTTGTCTCTTGAGAAACCTATATGTGGGTCAAGAAGCAACAGTGAGAACTGGACATGGAACAACTGATTGGTTCAAAATTGGGAAAGGAGTTTGGCAAAGCTGCATGCAGTTGTCCTGCCTATTTAACTTATATGCAGAGCACATCATAAGAAAGGCGGGGCTAGATGAATCACAAGTTGGAATTAAGGTTGCCATGACAAATATCAACAACCTCAGATATGCAGATGAGACCACTCTAATAGCAGAAAGTGAAGAGGAACTAAAGAGCTTCTTGATGTGGGTCAAAGAGGAGAGCACAAAAGTTGGCTTGAAACCCAACACTAAGAAAACTAAGATCATTGCATCTGGTCCTATCACTTCCCGGCTAATAGATGAGGAAGAAATGCAGGTAGTGACAGATTTTATTTTCCTGGGCTCCAAGATCACCACAGATGGTGACTGCAGTCAAGAAATTAAAAGACGCTTGCTCCTTGGGAGGAAAGCTATGGCAAATCTAGACAGCATACTAAAAAGCAGAGACATCACCCTGCTGACAAATGTTCTTATAGTCAAGGCTATGTTTTCCCAGTTGCAATGTATGGCTGTGAAAGTTGGACCATAAGGAAGGCTGAGTGTCAAAGAATTGAGGCCTTTGAATTGTGGTGCTGGAGAAGACTCCTGCGAGTCCCTTGGACTGCAAGGCGATCAAATCAGTCAGTCCTAGAGGAGATCAACCCTGACTGCTCTTTAGAAGGCCAGATACTGAAGATGAAACTCAAATACTTTGGCCACCTAATGAAAAGGAAGGACTCACTGAAGAAGACCCTGATGCTGGGAACGATTGATGGCAAAAGGAGAAGGGGACGGCAGAGGATGAGGAGGCTAGATGGAGTCCCTGAAGCAGTCAGTGTGAGCTTAGGTGGACTCCAGGGGATGGTGGAGGATAAGAGAGCCTGGAAGAATGTTGTCCATGGGGTCGTGATGGGCCGGGCACGACTTCGCAAATAACGTAACATAAAACATCAACCCCTTGCCAAACTGACCCACACCCTCCCCAGAAATCACGGAACCGTCACCACTCACATTGTACAGACACAAAAGAAACAGAACCAACTCACTGCCTTTAATCTAGGAGTCAGCACAGAAAACCCTCAGAGCTTTATTATTGTACCAAATAAAAGGGGGAAGGGATAAAAATATATATGTGCATATATTAAACCACTATTTAAGTACATACCCTATTCATAAATAACAACACTTTTTGCTTTTGCAAAATTACTTATTGAGATCTTCAAATCACATCATCCTTGTGACAAAAGGGGGCCGGGGGGAATCTCTATGTTGAATTAATCTGTGCATGGGAAAAACAATGCAAATTTGGGGTGGGTGCATAACACCTAGTTTCCAGGTCCAGGTTTCCAAAGCAAGGCCAATGGGCCAGTTGCCTCCTTGCCTCCCCTGCATGAAGAGTTTGTGTCCATTGGCAGATTCTGCTGGGGTACATGAAGATTATGTCATGTCCCCCCAGCTCCCTACCTCAAGCACAGGTAGCGGGAGGACAGGCCGTCGGTCACAGGCAGAGAAGCTTGAAGGCCTTTCTTTGGATTTGGCAACTTTTCTATTCATGAAGGCAGGAGGGGAGTCCTGGAAGGTGATGCTTTTCTGCTCTGTCTGAATGCAGTTTTCTCTTGTATAAATAGAAACCAACATTTCCACACAGGACATGCAGAGTAGTGCAACAATTCCATTCATACTATTATACATTGGTCTGCTGCTGGAAAGGCAGAACTGGGCATCTTTGCTCCAAGATGCTCTGCTGTAGACAGTGCAGGCCCCTTTCTGCTGCCGCCGCCGCCACCACTGCATCCCTTGACTCCAATCCACAGGAAGGAGAATGGCTCAGAGCAATTATAAGGTCCGGACAGCAACAGGGTAAAGGAGGGACAAATGTTCAGCTCCTTTTATTGGGAGTTTTTTTGCTGTGTAGTAGTGGATCACTTCTGGCACGCTGTCAAACGGAGGACTATTCTGGCCCAAAATGTATTTTTCTTTGGTTTTTGTCAGCTTCATGTGCATAAAACCTTGGTTGCTCCTGTGGAAAGAAAAACGAACAAGGCAAATGATACAGCATAGAAAATATCTATCTGTATATCTGTCAGGGAAAAATGTATTAGGACGCTTACTGTGGTTGCAAGAAGGAGATTGGGCTTATCAAACTAAAGCGCAGAAAATGCAGGCTTACAGAAATATAGTGCCTTTACTTGACAAAGGGAAAAAGCACCACTGCCATAGCAATCTCGAGGCAAAGACCAAATACATTATTTTATACGTTCATAATGGTCAGGTGTGAAAGAAATATATTGGGCTGACTGAAGTGAGTCCACATGAGATGCAGCTGATAAGGTGTAATGGCATGTCTATCAACATTCCAGCTTCTCAGAGGTTTGCTTAAAAGGTCGGCACATGAGGGCCAGAGAGAGTTGGGACCACGTGCTATTAGGAGAATCGTGTGTCCCAAGAAGCGAGTAAGCACTGACCAGCCTCTATGTGTGCAATAAGAAAGTGGCGTTGTATATGCACGTGCTCCATGCCCCCACATTAAAATACCTCTACAAATGTACTCATCCCAAGTTAGAATGAAAATGATTGAGTTCATTAGCAATTTTGCACGTTACAAACAAATGCTATGAGTGAACTGGGCAATTACTTCTGCATTCAGCTGATGATGTTTGTTTGTAAGGCTGGAAAAAGAACTTGTATATCAAAGGCTGAACAATAGTTAAGGAAAGCAGGCCATGGTGAGGTGTTATGTTTCCAGTGGGACTTACACAGCTGTCTACGTAGCACATAAAAAGCCAAAGTACAAGCAACCCAAGGAGAGCTGGGTGCAAAATGGAAGGAGATCTTCTCATTTTGTGCTAGAGAAGCTGAGTTACTATTGGGCGGCAATCAATTCTGCATCCCAAGGGTGCATGGAGAGACAATTTTAAGTTGAGAATAGCTCCTTTATCCATCTGAAATTGCCTGAGAATTTCATTTTTTTAAAGTGAATGTTTCCTATGAAATAGCTGAAACAAATTTCAGGCTCACATTATTCAGATTTGTTGAGGCAATTTTGTGATGAAATGACCCTTCTCTTTAGAGCAGAAATCACTGCAGGCACTGTAATTATAGCTCTGGCAAGCTTAAAAAATCTTGATTTAAATTTCAATTCTTTAAAAGAATGAATCTCTTTTGAAACATAATTGCTCTCTAAACGATTTCCTTTAAGCCAAGGGTGACATCCCTAAACACATTATTATGAGCAGATATATTGTGCTGTTCTTTCAGTTCATTATGTGTTTTTCTTCTGCTAGTAAATGGTTTAAGATTCTGCCACTAAATTAATGCGATTGTAAAAATAGGTGCATATTAATTCAAGGCTAGAGCACGGGGCAGTCTGTTTAGATGCCTTTTAAGGTTTAAAGCAAAAGCAAAACATGCAGGTAGATTTTCTCATCATGTTTGCAGTTTTATTAATTATACAGTGATTCCTGCTTCAGCTTCAGTGAGTTTGATTTGGGATTTCATAGGAACAAAATATGTCAAAAAGTGATCATCAAAGGCACACTGCAAACTGCTGGCAGGCTAGTATAATGCTTGGGGGTTAGTAACTTTGTTTGATTTGTAAATTTGCTTTAAAATGGGAATTGAACAGCAATCTTTGCATCAGCCTTTGTAAAAGAGAGGTGGATGTCTTTTTGGACAGGAGTTATAGGCTTGGAGGTGCTAATAACAAAATGAAAGGGCCTAAAGAAAAGATGATTTAATTTTTGACTTGTGTATAGATAAAAATGATGCTGAAGGGCTTAGAATGCCCACTGTGCACCGCAGGATTCCTAAGGGCAGAACCAATGACATGTTACAGGAGACAAGAGTGCTGCAGAAAATGAAATTGCCAGGTTCGGCTCTCTCATACCTTATGAAACATGCTATGTTATCTTTGCATTGCCCATTTCCTTGTATCTGCTGCATAATATTGCATAATATTGTGTCACATCATGAGATAAAGGCTACTAGATGTTATGGGAAGTTAGAATGCCATATAAAGATGCAATTTTCTGCATCCGTCCTGCATGCGCTGTCCTGCCTTCAAGAAACCCACCAAGTGCAATGGAATGAGTGCCGAACTTGCTGAGCTGTCACGTTCTCTCTCAAGTCCTCTTATTACTCTTTCAACTGGACATGAAAACTGCCCTTCACTCTGGCTAATGCCCTAGGTTTTGGCAGAAACAACTTTCAGTATGCAGTAAGATAAAAGGATGCAACTGTAACCAAAAACTTTGCACAGCCAGCAACCCATCTGTAACTATTGCAACACTCTTAAACTACTATTTTACCACAGGTATGCAAACCATGTTTTCCTGGACTTCTTCCGGTATTTAGCCCTGGCAAGCCACTGCAGCTTTTTGAGGTCTACCTGGCAAAAGACAATCGGCGCTCCCACATGTGGGTCTGTCATTGTGGCGCTGCTTTGCAACGAACACCCATTGGCAGGGGAGGCGCACAGCACGGAAGGGAGAAGGATCCTTAACACTGAAGTGTCCATCTCCGGAGACAAAAGCTCTTCCCCCCTGCTGCTCTGACCAGGCTCTGCCTGCCTCCATGGCCCCAAAGTTCAAAGGCCCCACTGGCCTGCCCTTTGCAGACAGCCTTTGAAAGCTTAGAAATGATCTGGCTGAAAAAGCAGCATGTGTGCTTTCAATCATCACAATACTCTTTATTCCCATGAAAAGCACGCATGCACATTTTCCAGCCACATTATATGGAACTGTCTGTGCTAGACTGCAGTTGGATTTGTGAACAGATGCGGTGGGTGTGCATAGATGCCGTGTACAAATGTTTGCTTTAAAGAGAATACGATGAAAGGAAAAAACAACAGCAAAATGAATGGCCCATTAAAACTTAACAGGGAATGTTTAATTAAAGCAGCCTTGCAAAATAGCTACTTGGATTATTAAATAACCCCAGTCTACCAGGAAGGAAGTTCAGGTTAACTAGAAGAGAGCTGGTCCCCATTAGGCACCAACAGGCCAACACAGGTAGGCTTGAAACAGCAGGCTGGTAAAGATGTCTCTAACTTTTGTGGAGCGGCAAGGCTGAATCAAGCATGAGAGTTTCCATTAACAACAGGCCTGAAGACAGTTTAAGGCATAAAGGCAAATAGGTCTGTGTGTTTCCCAAGCAAACCAGAGCAGCAGCTTAATGATTCCCTAAAAGAAAGCACCCATTTGATGCAAGAGGTAAAATAGAGATGTCTGGAGGAGGATGCTGGCAGAAGGAAATCAAACTTGGCATCTCTGGTAGAGCGGAAACAGCCTACGTGATAAGGGCAGAATTACAAAAGGTTTTGGAGGCAAGAAGAGAATGACTAAACCAACTTATGAAATCTCTTTCCATTTTGGTAATTAAAAGAGAGGGTGACTAATAACTGACAATGATTGACAAGGCCTCATAAATGTTGTCCCCATACACTTGATGAACCCAGAGATCTGCTCCAAAAGCATGGTGAGCAGAACCTGGTGGGATTCTGGAGTGATTCTGAGAATAGTCTAGTCTGCACCACCAGCAGGCCACATGCTAAAACTCTTTCTGGAGGTGTAATAACACAAATGGTGTTATTACATGCTTTGATGCCCTCTAGACAAAATTAACTTAGCACAGAAAACCAGTGGATCAGGGAGAAAGGTTCTACCATGGTCTTTTCCACGATTTACTAACTCACAGTCTGGCTTATTAACCCCAAATGTCAGCAAAACAATGCCTTTGCAGACTGGTTAAAGGATGTGTTGATTTCTCAGCCCCAGCTATGCCTGCAGCTATCAATCCGCTGCATGATAGTAACAATTCTTTGTTATGATTGGCTGCTACTAGGCCGAAGAGCAGAAGGGATAGCTTTTAACCTATTGTAAAGTCCCCTTGGTGCTGCTTATTACAACAATGGCTTACGTTTCCGTCAACAGCATGGTCAAATTGTATGTTTTGTATCACTTTTACAATCAACTCACAGTCCAACATGTGTCCTGTAAAGCTCTTGGGGCTTTCTCTATGGTTTCGCATTCTATATCTGTACTCGTCTTTTGAATTCAGACAAACACTGATCTACAAGTATCTATCCATTCAATTTATAGCCAAGCGTAATAGAGCCCAATAATAACACTAATAATAAAGAGTACGTAATACATTTGTACTCTTAATACATGAAAGAGTATTGTTTAAAACCTATTGTTTTATTGTTCCTCTTCAGAAAGTATTTGTTTATTTTTTGTTTATCTTAAGTCAAGCCAGAACTTTCCCTAGCAGCAAAAATGACAAAACTGAGGCTGCCGTACTTTGAACACATCATGAGAAGACAAAACTCCCTGGGGAGGACAATCACACTAGGGAAAGTCGAAGACCGAAGAAAAGGAAAACAAATAAGAGATGGATTGACTCTATAAAAGAAGCCACAGCCTTGAACTTTTCTGAGTGGAGCAGGGCTGTCAAGAACAGGACGTTTTGGAGGACTTTCATACATAACATTATCTTTAAAAATATTGATATATTGTTTATCTTCATACATTTCTGAGATCTTTCAAGTGCTTACAAAACAGTAAGTAAGGAAATGTAGTGTAAGAAGCATTATACTTTAGGAGCTGACCTACACATTATTTTTATTATTTATTTATCTATTTATTTTTCAATTTATATCCTGCCTTTTTCCTACAAAGGGCTCAAGGCAGCTTACATCTCCTCTGCCATCTTATCCCCACAACAACAACCCTGTGAGGTAGGTCGGGCTGAGAGTCTGTGACTGGCCCAAAGTCACCCAGTTGGCTCCATGGCCGAGCGGGGACTAGAACCCAGATCCTCTGAGTCCCAGTCCCATGCTCTTAACCACATTGCAACAGAACAGTAAAATTTTCAACAGTACCACCTCAGGCAGAAGGTGGTAGTCACAGCAGACAAAAATGAAATTCTGCAAGACCCTCTTCCCGATGTGCTGATTTATTGCGTGCAAAGAATTGCTTTGGTTTTATGTGGGGGAACATTCAAAATTAGGACCTTGCATCT